CCAAAGTGTGTTGAAATACCTTCTTCAAAAAATCAATATTGATATATAAAAAGCAGAATGGGTTTAATTTTGTTTGGTCTAAGTGAATAACTGGATAAGGTATCAGAAAAAAAAACAACACTATAAAATCTAAAACTGAGTTACCATCAACGTTTCATCTAAGGGGGACAAGTTAGAATGCAACGTGTATTGTGTGTGAGCGGTGTTCTTAAAGTCTCACACAAGTATATATATATATATATATATATATATATATATATATATATATATATATATATATATATATATATATATATATATATATATATACATACACATATATACATATATATACACATATATATATATATATATATATATATATATATATATATATATATATATACAAATATATCTATATGTAGAAACATATATACATATATACATATATACCAGGGGTCGGCAACCTTTTGAAGCGGAAGAGCCAAAAGTTACAATTTTCAAAATGTCCCTGGTTTTAAAGAGCCACTAACATTTTTTTTATTTCAAAAATTTAATTTTTTATTAAGATTATTAGTATTTGTTCAAGGAGCTGGAGAGCCGCATCTTGATATCAAAAGAGCCGCAGGTTGCCGACCCCTGATATATATATATATATATATATATATATATATATATATATATATATATATATATATATATATATATATATATATATATATATATATATATATATATATATATATATTACAAAATGACTGCGCGGCCGCGCAACCGCACAGCTTTAGGAAACATCGGCTACCATGACGTGGAGGTTGCAACACAACCAGATCGTTTCGTCTTTATCAATTTTCGATCAGGCCCACCGGCCCGCGACAGGAAGTGGCCTCATTGTCGTTTCATCAGGACCACAAGGGTGGCCAGGCCAATCATTCAATGTCCGAGACAACTTAACCTCACTGACCACAAGATGACCAGTTCAAACTAGGGAGGGATGCGTTACGCCGGGTTACTTCTCTCACCCACCCCACCCCTCACAATAGTTTTAAAATATATTTTTTATAAGTTGGATACGGTTTAAACGTTACCTGAAAACTCTGAAGTTTACTACGCCAGGTAAAAATGAGTTCGTGTAGTGATTGACCGTAAATTATAGTGGGATAGTTTAGTCTCATTCAATGTTACTTTTCGCTCATATTAGAATCGGGTACCCATCAGAACTGAGTGGACTCAGTTGTTCTGACTCAACCACAGGATCCGAATTCTCGATTTTCCTGTGTTATTTTAACACTAGTCACTGGAGCCTTGAAACTTTAAAACGAATAAAATTTTACTCAAACCCTATAACTCTGTTAACGGCAATCAGATATTTATTACCGCCCCTGTTGAGTTCTACGGGCCTCATCATATAAAACGCTGACAAATATTTCGACATATTTTAATCTCTGGTTAAATTAAGCAATGAATATTAAAAAAAAATATCATTGCTGAGGCGGTTTTAAAATGTTTTCCGTCTAAAATTTGTCGGTTTTTCTCTAGGGAGAAAACAAAATGTTAAAAATGTTAATGACGCTATCGTTTGCAAGAGCCTTGTTACCGGTAATTATTTCTAAACCTTTGAACAGGACAGAGCTAGGAGAAATTTCCCAACCGCTAGAGAAGTCAGCTGATTGATGGATGGAGAAGTCAGATGACTGATTGCTGGAGAGGTCAGATGACTGATTGCTGGAGAGGTCAGATGACTGATTGCTGGAGAAGTCAGTTGACTGATTGTCTAATTTCTTGATTGGTTTTCCCCCTAAAGTGTAAAGCAAACATCACATCCGGTCACGCGACCTACACCACGTGGTACACAACCGACCCGCCTTCGTTAACCAGGAGTGTGTGAGCACTTGACATAGTCCAACGGGGGTGGGGGGGTGGGGGAAGGGGGGTGGGGGTGGGGAAGGTAGAGTGGGGAGTAGGGGACCTTCATCACACTCAGTTCACATCACAGTTAAAAACATGTTGTTGTGGGATATGGAGGAGAAAGGGAAGGGGGGGGGGGCACGCGACCCAGGGACGACGAGACCTGTTGTAATTGAAATAAATTATGCAACTCGCCGCTTTCTAATCATGGTCGCATCTTGTGAGCCCTGATGGGCGCCGAGGGGGCGCGCAATGAGCCGCAGTCACGCCATTGATTCATCAGCCCCCACAATCTCGGGTGCCCCACCAGGAATTACCAGCCCCCCCCCCCCCCCCGTGTAAAGACAACAGGCAAACGCTGATCAATCTAAAAAGATAATTCTCTCCCCTTGCTGGGAGTGAGGCGGAGCGTGGCGAGGTCCAAGGGAGATTACTTGGGCCGGACAGGGGATATAACCAGGGAGGGGAGATAATCCAGTCATCAAAGTTTTGAAATTCATAATATCATTTTATTCAACGATCAAATCACAAATATGATGTCGTTTTAATTTACAGTCTGGTTAATTAAATCAAAACATATTTATTTTTACCGTACTTTTTTTTTTAGCTTTGAAGTAATATAATCTAGCGCATTGAAAAGTAAAAAAAAAAAGAATTTTTGTAATACACATTATTTACATGTATAATACAGCCTTAACAACAATTTACATAATAAAAAAAAAGCTTAAATACAACAAAACGATATGTATTGTACATTATATCTGCTAACTTCATCACCTTTCTTGAGTCCGAAACAACTTATGTAGCTGTAAACATAAGAGATCTAACTTGCACGTAGAGTACAGGTATTTGCAAATAAATGATGAGAAGTATCAAGGGAACGAACTCAATAAAATCGATAGTACAACGACTCCAGAGTTCCTGGATCAACGCCCTTGTCCCGCGCATTGAAATTACTCCCAGAGGAACATCTCAACTAAGTGGGCCTTCACGGAGAATGTAAAACGTTTCAAGCCTCAGCCTTAGACCTAATTTCCTCATCGAGTTTCTCCCCCCTTCCCCGTTCTATTCTCTACCTGAAGCACAAAGAAATTACCGTCATCAACGCTAATAAACCACGCAACTCTTCACGAACTTGTGTGGTCGTGGTTGTCTCCCCTTACCATTTCAACGAGCAGACTCGCACTTCAGTTGACCTTTCAAACAGATTTTTTCCCCTCGCAAAACAATATCAGCCTTACAATGCCAGACAATATCAGCCTTACAATGCCAGACAATATCAGCCTTACAATATCAGCCTTACAATATCAGCCTTACAATGCCAGACAATATCAGCCTTACAATGCCAGACAATATCAGCCTTACAATATCAGCCTTACAATGCCAGACAATATCGGCCTTACAATGACAGACAATATCAGACTTACAATGCCAGACAATATCAGCCTTACAATGCCAGACAATATCAGCCTTACAATATCAGCCTTACAATGCCAGACAATATCATCCTTACAATTCCAGACAATATCAGCCTTACAATATCAACCTTACAATGCCATACAATATCAGTCTTACAATGCCAGACAATATCAGCCTTACAATATCAGCCTTACAATATCAGCCTTACAATATCAGCCTTACAATGCCATACAATATCAGTCTTACAATGCCATACAATATCAGTCTTACAATGCCAGACAATATCAGCCTTACAATATCAGCCTTACAATATCAGCCTTACAATACCAGACAATATCAGACTTACAATACCAGACAATATCAGACTTACAATACCAGACAATATCAGACTTACAATGCCAGACAATATCAGCCTTACAATACCAAACAATACTAGTCTTACAATGCAATGTCCTTTATTCTAAATGTTTATTATAACGTGCTTTGAAAAAAAAATCAAAGAAACAACGAACAAATAAAAGTAATGGTGTTAGAGAACAAAAAAACAAACAAATAAGAAATCACATGACGTAATCTTGTTGCTAAGAGACAAGTAGCTTCATTATAATTTCTTAAACAAGTTTAAATTAGAGTTGTTACGACAAAGCCAAAATACTTAACATATCGAAGGAGTCAACAACAACAGAAATGTTTAGAAAACAGAAGGAAAAACTACAGCAGTGAATTAAGAAATAATCTTTTTTTTTTTACGGCGAATGTTGCCGTTGACCGAATCAAGGGAAATAAGAAAATAATGGGCAAAATAACCAAAGACGAAACTTTAAAACAGGAATTGGTCAACAGTTATAACTGGGCTTTTGGTGTTTTTTACAGTCTGAACTCAATCCACTGTGTTTACAAAACGATTATTAGAATGTGTTCATTACAGATATACGTGGCACAGTTTAATTTCCACAGTTCGGTAATTATAGTAATTCAATCTCACTTGAGCTGATAATAAAAGGCTCAATGCTTCAACTTATTAAAATAAAACATGGAATTCATAACACATCCATTGTACAGAATACAAAAGCAGCATTTTCACACAAAAAAAAAGAAAAAAAAAAAAAAAAAAAAACAACCTAAATTACAAGAAAAACCTTCTATTAAAGTAGCTCCCAAAAAATTTAGTTTTGAAAATAATAATTTTTTTTGGTTGCTTTTCAGATATTTTACTTCTGATCTTTACCAGGTTGTCTCAGTGTCGTTATAAATTTAAAATTAAAACGTAATTTGTTTAAAAAATGGACAGACTGCATTTGTCTTCTGTACAGTTTATTATAACAATAATATATATTTAATATTTTACATATATGTATATATATATATATATATATATATATATATATATATATATGTATCAATGCATATTTATCCACATTAAAAAATTATAATATGAGGATCAGAGATAACTTATAACCATGGCATATATAGAGTGAACTGGATATTACCCAAGAACGTGAAGCCTTATGACCCGTCACATTCTTACATTAAATGTACTGTAATTCTCCCAATCCAACTCATATCTTAACATGACGCCCTTTATTTTTGTATCACGAAATCTTACATGAAAACTTGGTTTGCCTAAGTGGTCATTTTGCATATTCTACTCAATTAGGCTATAGATGGGGAACCCCCCCCCCCCCTCCCCCCCCTCAATCCTCCAATATTTAAACGGCATTTAAAAAAGACCTCTCCAAACAAATTGTTTGGGGTTCCACAGTAATGATCCACCGAGTCCCACACCATACTAAGTTCACTAGTCGAAAGTAGTCGACAACCATATTACTAATCAACAATACGACTAAATTATACAAAAAATAAATCAATGATCCTGTTATTTAAAAAAAAAATCTAAGCAAACAAATACTCAAATAAAACAATACGTATGCATATCTAATTTAGCATTTTCCACATCGTAAAAACCGCGAATGTCTAATATAACCATATCTGGAAATTCATTATCAACAAAATCTCGCATTCAATGTGAAATCAATGCATTTAAAAAACAAACCATTTAACGAAAGAAAAAAAAAACCAAAGTAAAAGAAACATCTGGTTTCTATCAGTAACATAACATACACTGAAACAAATGTCAATGAAACACGAGTTTAAAGTTGAAAAAAAACTATTTGGTTAAAGTAATAAAATAAAATCAGTTCCCACTGGCAGATGGGTAAAGCCTAGAGACCAGACGGTTGCCCGCATCACGCTAAACATTATCTCCCCTATCGCGGTTATCCGCCTTTCAACCTGCGGCCATCAAGGGACATAATCGACGAGTACAATAAGGACAAGTTCTAATCTTTACAAATTTAAATCAAGGGCCCCCGATTGCCCATAAATCCCTTAATACCCTCAAAGGCATACAATTATTTACAACAAAAAAAAACTCTTTCAAATATGAGTACAATCTCTAATGTAAAAATAGATTTTGGCCAGAAAAAAAGTTAAACATGTCCATACGATATTCATTTTGATCTGACTATCTTATAAAACTCCGTGAATTTAGTTGTTGGGACAGAAGCAGATGGCCATGACTCGTCTCGCTCTGTCCATCTCCGTAACGATTTTTCTCCTCGACTCTTCAGGGAATGAGCAGTACTCACCGCATTACCCAGCGTCCATGGGTTCCACATTATCCAGCATCCGTCGCACCCACATTATCCAGCATCTGTGGCACCCACATTATCCCAAGCATGTTTCCAATCCAGGTTTCTAATGTTAGTAATCACCCCCAACTACTATAATTACCAGCGTATTCCAATCCGGGTTTTTTTTTCTCTCCCTAACCAGCAGCAGCCTATTCCAATCCATGTTGTTATTGGCCGTGTGAGCAGTGAACTGCATTGACCCGGCACGGTGCATACTGCAGTCGTTAGAAACTGGACGTGCAGCATGTGTTGACCGCGGATCACGTGTTGACCGTACGGCCAGGAGGGTGAAGGTCAGCATCAGGTCATGTTGTTGTCCTTATGGAGCGGATGTGCTGCACACGATGAACTCACGTAGAGGAACCTACCCCAGGCCTGGACTGGAGGTTCCCACGAATGAATCATTAAGACGTGTAGAGGGGCGAGGCTGGCGTCTGAACAACGCTGGGGTTGGGCGAGCCTGGGGATGATTAATGACATTCTTATTAGGTTAATTAGATGATGTGGAGATTGTGGTAAGTTAAAGGAAAATATTACATGGCCAGAAACATATGGCCAACATAATCATGGCCAGAAACAGATGGGCAACACAAACATGGCCAGAAACAGATGGCCAACATAAATATGGCCAGAATCATTGGCCAACATAAATATCATGGTAAATAAAAGAACAAACATGGATAGAAAAATAGCCTCTCACCTTCTAGTACATGACCACACCCCCCCTCCCCCCTGATATAATTAAAAACAAGGAAAATGAAAGTTGTATTGAGGCACAGCATACTGATAGCTAAAAAAAAGTATGTCCAAATTTAAAGAAATAAAACGTTGTTTAAACTACTATCTTTTCCATCAATTTTTGTGTGTGTGCGTGAACTAGTCATGAACAGAAACAAAATACAAAATCATTCTTGGAGCACTAGACAAACAGAACTGACTTGACGAAATCAATAAGCTTAGCATGAAGTGTTGCCACTACGTACTAGTAGCCAGTGTTGAAATATTTGATCAATGAAATGGCGCAGCTCTCCTAGGCGAAGGATAACTAGATTGATCCCCGTCAATGATATCCTTCTTATATTTATCTAGGCAAGAAAACGTAACGATGTCTTCTTGAATCAATGGCAGGGAAATGTCGTAATCATAGAGGGAGGGCGTGGTGGGGTGTGGAATTTATGGTGTCAAGGTGTGGTGGTGTGTGGTAGTGAGGTGTGGTGGTGTATGGTGGTGAGGTGTGGTGGTGAGGTGTGGTGGTGAGGTGTGTTGGTGTATGGGGGTGAGGTGTGGTAGTGTATGGTGGTGTGGTGGTGTATGGTGGTGAGGTGTGGTGGTGTATGTTGGTGTGGTGGTGTATGGTGGTGAGGTGTGGTAGTGTATGGTGGTGAGGTGTGGTGGTGTAAGGTGGTGTGGTGGTGTATTGTGGTGAGGTGTGGTGGTGTATGGTGGTGAGGTGTGGTGGTGTATGGTGGTGAGGAATAGTGGTGTATGGTGGCAACGTTTGATGGCGTATGGTTTTACGGTGGTACATTTTGGTGCCAAGGTGTGATGGTGATGTTTAGTGCCAAGGTGTCGTGGTGTAAAGTGGTGGTGTTTGATCCTAAGATGTTGACGGTTCATTGTGTGAAGGCGATTCTTGTTATGTCATTTTATCATGGTGGTACATCCTCCACATACAAATTATGCTGACACAACGATCTAGTCTTTAACCAGACAAACTCGCACAATTCTATCTGTTCTAACACACGTACAGCTGGGATTTAAAATTCAAACAATCACAAAGAGCCAGATTTAAACTTACATAATCCCTAGAAAACACAGCTTTTTAGCCAGTACATCTTTTCCACACTTTTACCTATGAACATTTAAACGTAAATCTAAACTTTGTGCTATGATTTTTAAAAGCCATTACTAAATGAAATGCCCTTCAATTCTCCAGAGGTTTGAGAAGCATCTTTTTCAATACAGTACCGAACTACACCGCTTTTAGCAATCTCAATACTGTTTGAAAAGTACTTTGTTTCGTAATCTCCCACCAGCTATGTAAGGTAAATCGTGTACACAGTTAAAATGTAAAGTTGTATTGGTATATTTGAACCAGCTATGTAAGGTAAATCGTGTACAAAGTTTAAATGTCAAGTTTTATTGGTATATTTGAACCAGCTATGTAAGGTAAATCGTGTACAAAGTTTAAATGTCAAGTTTTATTGGTACATTTGAACATAACTTTATCTGTGTCTTTAAGCTACATTTTACTATCACAAAGACTCTGGGGGTAGAAGAGTGGGCATGTTCTTTCCTGTTTATTTTAAAGTATCAAAGCCTGACACAATGTCGAGACTTTGTGTTGTGTTTTAAATGTACCGTAGAACCCACTTGGCAGCAACGGTGGCTGGAGAACAGAATAATGTGGAAGAATGTTGCTGTCTCTGTCTAGCAACAGCTGTAGGGAGGTTGTCTATTCTGTCTAGTCTACGAGGCGCTGGTTGTGCCAGAACATACTATACAACTGGGTACCACGAGCAACAGTACTCAGTCTAGCAACAACTAAAAGTACTCGCTATACAATACAACAAGATAGGTACCAACAGCAACAGTACAAAATGTGGTACTCTGTCCAGCAACAGTACATTTGGTACTGTCTAACACCAGCTGAACGAAAGCCGTGCTGCAGTAGACAGTCTAGGCAAAAAGGTGCTGGTTGTATCAGCTCCAGGACAAATACCTCTGGACATACCCGCAAACTGTAAGTTATGTACCATTTCAAACCTTACGGTCTACGGGAAAGGGAACTAGAGACATCAGCGTATGGTGGGATACTGTGGGCGCACTATGACCAGCCACCTTTACTTCTCCCTAACTTAAAACAGGTAAGCATCAGAGCTGGCTTGACTCAAGAACGTACTACAGACTTAAGCCCGGGATCCGAATTCCCGATTTTCGGGAAAGCGGTCGAACACTCTACTATTCCACCGACCAGCTCTACCTGACCATAGTAGAGAACTAAGAACTGTACCAAGAACAAGAATACAAAACTTTGTAATTGTCATTTTACTAAAAGAGTAGTAACACAACGGTACTTTATTCAAAATCAAACACCACAACAAATGAAATTAGCAGTTAACAAGTAGGCAGTTTACCAAACTGGCAGTAAAAATCTGGACACTAAAACCAGAATAAAATAACGCAATAAATTACTGTACAAGAATAGCAGCACCCCCCCCCCCCACACCCCTTAATAACATTTCAAGACGATTCATCTTTAAATCTTCCTGCCATTCAACGTGTTAAATGTACGTCCAGCTCCTCGACACCGCTGTAAATGGTTAAATTAATGGTGACGGGAACCTAAACTTTATTTACACTCTTTTCAGGTTAGTGTCAACCCCCCAACCCCAACACCCCCACCCCCCTCGGTCCACTTTGTCTCGCCCCGCGCACCATTCATCACCCCCTCGTGAAACGCAATCTTAATTCGTCCATCAGGGCCCAAAGCAATTATTCTTTGCATCATCCTAGTGTTAAGAAATCATTAGAGGGGGGCACCACTAAACCAGTTCGTGGGATACCCTCGAAAATGGAGCAGTCTCGAGGGGGAGATTTGATTTAGCTCTCAAATCAAGGACCTGATTTCCTGGAATCCTTGCTGTCGTCGAAGACTGGGGCTTTAGACGTTTTCACGTTTATTTTTAAAGCTATCACCCGGGGTGGGAGTGGTGTGGTAGTGATGTAGAGGTAGTTATGTTGGTGGCTGTTGCGAGGTGGTAGTGGTGATTGTGGCAGAAGGTGTGTTGGTGGTGTATTGATGTCGTTGTGTTACGGTGGTGTTGACGAGGTGGTGTTGTGGTGATTGAGGTAAGGCAATAATGCGGTGGTCATGATACGTTGGTGATGGTGGTGTTGTTGATGTTGTGGTGATCGTAGTGGTGCTGATGTTGTGGTGATCGTGGTGTTGCTGATGTTGTGGTGATCGTGGTGTTGTTGATGTTGTGGTGATCGTGGTGTTGTTGATGTTGTGGTGATCGTAGTGTTGCTGATGTTGTGATGATCGTGGTGTTGCTGATGTTGTGGTGATCGTGGTGTTGCTGATGTTGTGGTGATCGTGGTGTTGCTGATGTTGTGGTGATCGTGGTGTTGCTGATGTTGTGGTGATCGTGGTGTTGCTGATGTTGTGGTGATCGTGGTGTTGCTGATGTTGTGGTGATGGCGGTGTTGCTGATGTTGTGGTGATCGTGGTAGTGGTTATGTTGTGGTGATCGTGGTGTTGTTGATGTTGTGGTGATGGCTAGTGGTCCATTCCAGTGTGGTGGTGATGGTGGTAGTGGAGGAGGAATCAGTCCACACATGCCCACAGCGTGGCATGTTGACATTATCCCCCTGTGACGATCATTGTGAGCAATCAGAGTTTTCTCACGGGTTGGGTAATCGGGTGAGCGGCAGTTGATTCAACATTCGAGCAAACATCGTTACACAGAGGAAAAAAAACGTGAGGCACATTCTGCGATCTCCCGTCTAAGGCGTACACAACAGTTCTCAAAAATACGAAACATTTTCTTACATCATGTGTTAAAAATACTTCAAACAATTGTTATTTTTAGGGTTATGGGACGGAGTGGTCTAGCGCTAGAGAGCTGGACTTCTAACCTGTAAGTCTCGAGTTCGAATCCGGGTTCAAGTCAGTAGACCGTCCCTGAGTCCATCCAACTCTGATTGATACCTAACTCACGTAAGGGAAAGTAAAGGCGGCTGGGCATAGTGCTGACCACACTATCTCTTCATATACCGAGGTCACAGAAACAAGTGAACTCTATTTCACTTGCCATATAGACCGTCAGGTTTGAAAAGGGAACTATACTTTTTAAACAGTTATACTTATAGCTATATTTTTGGTTAGGTTTAGATTAACATTTAATTTTTTTTTTCAGGTATACTCATGATTAAATTGAGGTTAGATTCTAGAATAGTTTAGAAAGACAAACAGTTATATGTAGAAGAGATAGAAAAAACATTCGAATTTTTTGTCTGTTCCTTTGATTACATTGATAGTAATGATAGACGTATTTCAACATAAAATTCTTCTGACTCGCAAGTAATTTATAAAATGCCGCAATAAAATACCACGGCTTTAAATTTCCAAATTAAAATAAAAAAACACGTTTTATTTAACAAAAAGGATTATTGATCGTCAAAGTCGACTCGCCTTGTAAGGAAACATAACTCGTGCCATTACATTCCCAGGTAGCAAGTTGGAATCTTTTATCGTTTTCACATCAATGTGAATGTGGGCTTGTCAAATGTCGTGACAGAATAGACTGCTGGGATAATCATTTGCTGAGGTTTAATCGTCGCGTTAAACTCCAGCCGTTGGTATTTGTTTGACGGCTTGTCATACTCAACAATGTCTGTCATATAGAGGTAACTCAACAATGTCTATCATATAGAGGTAACTCAACAATGTCTGTCATATAGAGGTAACTGAACAATGTATGTCATATAGAGGTAACTCAACAATGTCTATCATATAGAGGTAACTCAACAATGTCTGTCATATAGAGGTAACTCAACAATGTCTGTCATATAGAGGTAACTCAACAATGTCTGTCATATAGAGGTAACTCAACAATGTCATATAGAGGTAACTCAACAATGTCTGTCATATAGAGGTAACTCAACAATGTCCGTCATATAGAGGTAACTCAACAAGGTCATATAGAGGTAACTCAACAATGTCTGTCATATAGAGGTAACTCAACAATGTCTGTCATATAGAGGTAACTCAACAATGTCATATAGAGGTAACTCAACAATGTCTGTCATATTGAGGTAACTCAACAATGTCTGTCATATAGAGGTAACTCAACAATGTCTGTCATATAGAGGTAACTCAACAATGTCTGTCATATAGAGGTAACTCAACAATGTCTGTCATATAGAGGTAACTCAACAATGTCTGTCATATAGAGGTAACTCAACAATGTCATATATAGGTAACTCAACAATGTCATATATAGGTAACTGAACAATGTCGCATATAGAGGTAACTCAACAATGTCTGTCATATAGAGGTAACTGACCAATGTCTGTCATATAGAGGTAACTGAACAATGGCTCGCATATAGAGGTACCTAACAATGGCTGACATATTGAGGTAACTTTACAATGTTTCGCATATAGAAGTAACTGAACAATGGCTGGCATAAAAAATGTAAAAAAAAAAAGTAAACAAAAGAAACAATTGCTTCTTATGAATGTCAGGACGGGATTAAAATTTGATAAAGATCTAGGTAATCTGAAATTTAGGGGCCATGGTGAGGTATGGTAACCTTAATTAGAAAAGCTGTTACAGCATGCACGTTTTATTTGTTTCTCTTGAAAAAATCAATTATTTTGGGGTGCACATCACGATCTTTTCACTAAGATTGCGGATAATGGGACTTCGAGAGTGTGGAACTAAGAAAAATTAGATGATTTAAAATTGGCCTTAAAAAGATGGGACCCTAAGACCGTGGGTACCCTAAGACCGCGAACACCATAAGACCGCGAGAAACCCTAAGACCGCGGGGACCCTAAGATCGTGGCGACCTATGACCGTGGGGACCCTAAGACCGTGGCGACCATAATACCTTGGGGACCCTAAGACCGTAGGGACACTAAGACCGTGGGGACCCTAAGATCGTGGCGACCATAATACCTTGGGGACCCTAAGACCGTAGGGACACTAAGACCGTGGGGACCCTAAGACCGTAGGGACACTAAGATCGTGGGGACCCTAAGATCGTGGCGACCATAATACCTTGGGGACCCTAAGACCGTAGGGACACTAAGATCGTGGGGACCCTAAGATCGTGGCGACCATAATACCTTGGGGACCCTAAGACCGTAGGGACACTAAGACCGTGGGGACCCTAAGACCGTGGGGACCCTAAGACCGTAGGGACCCTAAGACCGTAGGGACACTAAGACCGTGGGGACCCTAAGACCGTGGGGACCCTAAGATCGTGGCGACCTATGACCGTGGGGACCCTAAGCATTTTTAATTTAGGTGTAAACCCGGTAAATCATCGCTCACATATACATCGTTTTGTTTCCCAGTATGCATTAATATCATCACTGAAAGTGTTAGTTTCACATCACAAACGTGGCTTGTTGTCATTCGAGATTTATCTAACAAAGCAAATACTCACATATAGATGGTAAAGTGGAAAAAATAACAACTGAACACAACAGGGGAGACAAGACGTTACAAGAGCGGGGAGATAATTGAGAGGGGAAAAACTGATTGCCACAGTTAAGGGTTTACCCTGAGGCTTGTTGCACACATTACATAATAGGTGTCGGGTTTTTTTTTGGGTGGGGGGGGGGGGGGGGGTTAAATTTTCTTAGAATAGACAATAGAGCCAAGGTAGTGATGTGTGTTAAGCGGTGTGGGGTACTTATAGAGATGTGTGTTAAGCGGTGTGGGGTAATTATGTGTGTTAAGCGGTGTGGGGTACTTATAGAGATGTGTGTTGAGGGTGTCGGGTACTTATAGAGATGTGTGTTGAGGGTGTGGGGTACTTATAGAGATGTGTGTTGAGGGTGTGGGGTACTTATAGAGATGTGTGTTGAGGGTGTGGGGTACTTATAGAGATGTGTGTTAAGCGGTGTGGGGTACTTATAGAGATGTGTGTTAAGCGGTGTGGGGTACTTATAGAGTTGTGTGTTGAGGGTGTCGGGTACTTACTGAGGGTTAGATAGCGCTTGCTGCTGGTGGCTGCTCTAATGGCTGCTAGGCTCGACAGCTGTTCGCATGCTGTGCGACATGATGGGGTAGGACACGAGCGAGGTGGAGGGCGCGCCCAGGCTCTGGGTCAGCGAGTGCGCCACCTGCAGCTGAGGCATGGAGGCCATCGACACGGCAATGTTGCTCTGCGTGAGGGCCAGGGCGCCGGCCACGTTCTGGGTCAGGGTGACGGTGGGCGTCACGGCCATGGCCGGCTGGGCGCGGGACTGGGCCAGGCCGCCCCCGGCCGCCGCGGCCATGCGCTGAGCCGCGAGAGCGTGCTGGGTGGCCAGGTCGCTGTTGAGGGCCACCTGCTGGGTCAGGGTGGAGTTCATCTGGTTGATGCTGGCCTGGGCGTGGGCCGGGGTCACCGCTGGACCCAGCGCCAAAGTCGGCAGCGACTGGTTAGAAGAAACCAAAGCTGCGGCCGCCTTACTCACTCTATACCGGGCGTTCTGGTCCAGCAAGACCTCGTTGATGGCCGTCAAGTCACACACCTGCTTCTTCAGCTCCTCGATCTTCCTCTTCAGCATGGCGTTCTCATCCTCCAGTAAGGAGAAGCTAATCCCGGCCCGGATGCTCTCGTACTCATCGTCCATCCGTCTCCTCTTCAAGTCTGGAATATAATCATAATGCCTGTCGTGTCTTCTATCGTACTCCACAATGGCACACTTGTCCGCGTCGTGACGGTACTTACACTTCGATCCGCGTTTACAGTCTCCGTTAAAATAATCCCGGCATACCGGGACTTCGGCTTTAAGAGCCAGATGCGCCCCGACTGTATTGGAATAATTGAGCCTGGACGGCAACAACCCCGTCCGGTGGAAATACTCCTCCTCATCCCGTGAGCAGTGCAGGAATTTACAGTTGGGGCGCGTGCAGCCGTTGTTCTGGTAGTCGTGGCAGAAGGTCAGGTCCCGGCGTGGGGGCGGGTCCGGCCGGTCGTCTAAAGCCGGATGCCGGTAGCGGCACCGTTTGCCGCGGGTGCAGACGTTGCGCATGTAATCGCGGCAGATGTCGTCGTCATACTGCTCGCCGTTGAGCAGACGGCCGGAGCTGCCGTTGATGGGGCTCTCGCTGCCTGAGTCACTTTTGTTCGACATTTGCAGACAGAGAAGAAGACTCAATTATTACAATGAAATGGCCAGAGCTTCAAATAATAAAATAAAAATAAACAACACTCCTACATCTAAACTAACATCCACGCGAATGTCATGAAAAAAATAAGCCTGAGCTAATATTTCTAAAAAAAATATTTTTTTTTCCAAATAAGTCAAGCGAGTGGATCTAGCGTGTGCTAAACATTAAGAAAGCTTATGATAGATAATCTGTCCGTCCGGCTGTCCACGTTGCTTGATTAGTGTAAAGAAGATTAATTCGCCCCTGCACGCAGCAAGTCCGCGGCGCCGCTGCTGTCGCTACCTCCGCGCTCTGCCTCGCTCACGCACACACGCTCTTATAGCAGGCGACCACCTCGGGATGCCCTGGAAGAAAAATACATCTAACATTAAAATAGGAGAAACGATCGAAACTCCGATCAATAATGAATGATTTCTCTCCCTCTCTCTCTTTTTCCTGAAAAAAAAAAGAAAAAAAAATCCTAATGAAAATGTTAGTCATACAACATTTTTATGAAGTCCGTGGAAACAAAAGGACGTGTGTGTCTCTGCCTGCGTGGTGCTAGCTCAGCTCTGGAATAAAACATCCCGTGAACCCACGTCTGGAGATGTACGACGCTTGTAAGAAAATAAAAATGGTTTAGTGGCTTGACAAAGGAATAAAAAAAAAAAACGCGGCACCGGCAAGGCAGCGGGCTGGCCTGTCACCTAGGCAACGGAGAAGTAAACAGATTGGATGGCAATAATTCTATACAATGTTGACATTTCTAAAGTAATTTCATTTTTTTTTCTCCCGGACTTTGAAGTATAAAATGACACAACGAAATAAAAAATGTATTAATGTATTTGAAAACAAAAGACTTCGACAACACATCAGCCCACGAGAGGGAAAACAAAGCAACACGAAGACAGCCCTCGCTGTTGAAATGCGTGCTGAGTGTGTTAAATCTCCCCATAAAACGACAGCTATGATCTCTAACATTTAGAAACAACTTACCCGACAACACATAAAAACGATCATATTTCTTTTTATTGCTAAATAGCTCTAAAACATCGTCGCGAGAATGTATTTTAAGGCTACACCCGATATCTCGTAGACAACCTAATCAGCGGCTATAAATAATAAAAGCATTTTAAATGAAGGCGTGAATATTTGATGAATTAAACAGCGCTTGTTTGGGGTTTTATTTAAAAGCCTCAAGCCCAGCGGAGTCGGGTAACAGCTTGGGATCCTTTTAGACACGACAAATGTGCCAGGGTTTATTGCATTGTTACAGATACAATGGGTTGGGGGACTTGTTTCAGCAAATGTTTTCATGAACTAGCGACTGGGAACTTGTTTGACTCAATGTTTTCATGGATTAGAAATTGAGGAGATGTTCCAGCAACTAGGGACATGTTCCACCAATTGTTTTCATGAACTAGTGATTGGGAACTTGTTCGACTCAATGTTTTCATGAATTAGCTATTGGGGACATGTTCCAGCAATTGGGGACATGTTCCAGCAATTGTTTTCATGGATTAGCAATTGGGGACATGTTCCAGCAATTGTTTTCAAGAACTGGTGACTGGGTACTTCGGCTCAATGTTATCATGGGTTAGCTATTGGGGACATGTTACACTCTATTTCTCATGAACTACCGACTTTTAAAGCTAGAAAAACGTTCTGTATTACAATTCTAAAAATAAGAAATCCGCAAATAATTCAACAAGAAGAATAAAAAAGTCAAATTAATATTAATAAACGCAAAGATTGACACGTTAGCTGAGAAAATCCCTCCTGCAGTGCACCATACTAAGTACCTATCATCAGTATTAAAAATCGCTGTACTTTACTTCGTAACGTAACTTCCTCTAAATAATAACAACAGCATTACTCACGTATTTGCAGGGCTCCTAAAAAAAAAAAAAACTTTACCTCCCCATTACAAGGCTAAGTACCTGATTAAAATTACCTACCCGCCACCGTGGAAAAGGTGACATGCAAGGTGACATGTAAGGTGACAAGTATCCCCAGCTATCAATCTGTCATGTCACGCCCCCGTGACGATCACGAGTGTAATCGCATTAGCCCCGGCTCCCCTGCCCCACCCCCTCCAGAACAATGGGATGGATGGTGCAAAAATCAATGGCGACACCAAGTCAACTCAATCGTGCTGCCCTCTAATGGGGAGGGACGCAACAACTTCGGCTTAAGATTAGGGGGACATTTTTTTTTTCACTTTTTTTTTGTATCGAGTGATGCTTGGAGAAGAAAATAAAGACGATGATGAGAATAGAGAGCCCGAGAATCAGAAGAAAGTTATGTGTGACCTAAGATCATATGAGATGACGACCTATTGGCAGCGAAATCACGCTACGAATATCGGAGTTGGCATGGACCAGATTTAGATACCTTAGAGTAAAGAAATAAAAATACAAAAAAGAGATTTACATAAAATTAAACCCTTATACAAACAAACAAACATACATACAGACATACACACACTATATATATATATATATATATATATATATATATATATATATATATATATATATATATATAATGTGTGTGTGTGTATTTACGTGTCTATATTGGCCGCACCACACTCAGTTCCAACTAAAAATAAACCTGGAGTGATCTCCCTTAAACTTTCTCGAATATTCTTATATAAAATAACAGGGGGTGGGAACTCGGGCTATAGACATGATTTTTAATCCATTTTAAATACTTAAAGTTTTAGAAATAGAATAAAATCTCGTAGACAAAAGAATTGCACACCAAGCGAACGCCAAATAAAAAAGTGCATAATAGTGCGCAATATTATTAGTACTTTACATTAGTTTTTTGAGAAATCGGAAGTAGCGTAAATGACTACTTCCGGTCAACGGAAATTACTCAAAATTTAACAGAAGGTAGAAAATTAGATCTTTTACTTACATGTGAAATTTCATTTATCTGACTGCAATAGTACTCAAGTTATAGGCTTTTGAAACATTCAAAGTAGAAAAAGTACCACTTCCGGTTATCGGAAATCGCTCAAAAGTTGATAAGGATCTACGATTTTGATAAAATATTTATATATGAAATTTCATCAATCTAGCTGTAACGGTACTCAAGTAATCGTGTTTACACACAGACACACACACACACAGACATACGGACAAGATTGCAAAATTATGTTTTTCCGTATCAGTGAGTTGTAAAACGTCGAGATTTGTAAAAATCTCGACTTTTTTTTTGCACGATTACAATACTTTCTCTTTACTTCGTATATACGAGAAAGTAAAAAAAAAGCGCTAGTGTTGTATCATATCGGTACACCCCGTGATGACAAAGTCGAAAGTCTGATGCAGCTCTCTACAACATCAGGGAACTCAGGCTTATAATTTAGCCTCCGATAATTTTAATAACAACACAAGAATACAAGATGATAACAGTTCGAAACGTCCGGGTAACATTGGCGCAATTAGACAACTCGCTCTACGCCAATCTCGCGAGAGCAGGGGCAGAGGAGCGGGAGCAAAGGGAGACGAATCATGAATGCGATAGCAGGCAGGGAAATAACTCGAGCTGATCCCTCCTGTAATCTTCGGCTCGGCGTCTACTGCAGACCACGTGACTGTAATGATTTAAGGAAGATGTCAAGCAAATGCCATCAAAAGGACAGGATCCCCAGGTCTTTAGAAAATTACCTGATCCGATTCCGGGAAGATTGGTCGGGAGGCGACGTTATGTAAGGCTGTAAGGGCCGTGTGTGGCTTAGATTTGAGGATGATTTAAGGGGGCGATGGATGTAAGGATGTAAGGGCCGTGTGTGGTTCAGACTTTAGGATGATTCAAGGGGGCGATGGATGTAAGGATGTAAGGGGCCGTGTGTGGTTTAGATTTGAGGGTGATTCAAGGGGGCGATGGATGTAAGGGCCGTGTGTGGTTCAGACTTTAGGATGATTCAAGGGGTGACATTATGTAAGGGTGTAAGGGCCGTGTGTGGCTCAGACTTTAGGATGATTCAAGGGGGCGATGGATGTAAGGGTGTAAGGGCCGTGTGTGGTTTAGATTTGAGGGTGATTCAAGGGGGCGATGGATGTAAGGGCCGTGTGTGGCTCAGATTTTAGGATGATTCAAGTGGGCGATGGGTGTAAGGGCCGTGCGTGGTTCAGACTTTAGGATGATTCAAGGGGGCGATGGATGTAAGGGCCGTGAGTGGCTCAGACTTTAGGGCAAGAAGTAAAGTAAGTCTTACAAGAAAGCGCCTACTACCACACCTAGTCACTTACGTTACTATCTGCCACAGCTTGTTATGACGTCACACCAACACAGGTACTCTCCCATCCACAAGAGAAAAAAAAACAGAAGCTAACACCCACACAACTGATTCACATCCCCATGAATGAATGTGATATTAGGCACTCAGAGACCTGCCCGGCAGACGATCCAACACAAACAGACGAGATGTCTCCAGCAGGCAACTACAAATTCTTCCCTAACTGGAAACATTTCAAAACTTCAAACTCGTTTTTTTTCTCTCTCTCTCTCCTAGCGCTCATTAAAAACGTGGAGCATGACGTCACGCGCTCTTCTGTGTTTGGACTCTGGTCACAGGTTGTCTGTGGGGAATCAACGAAGAGGGTGGGGGGGGGGGGCAGGAGGAGGGAAGGGGAGGGGGGAGGGAGAGAGGGGGGAAGGACGTCGCAGGGAACCAAATTGCCTTGCTATCGAACAATGCATTGCAATACACTGCCTGGCTAATCATCGATTATTGATTATGTTTTGATATCAACATTATAAAACAGGAAAATAATTGATTTGAACGTGCTGGGAGGCGCCATCCGAATGGGGTAGGTTAGAGTGGGAGAACATACCGCAGGTCTGTTATTCAGGTGCGGGTAGGAAACGATGGTGGGGAGGGAGGGGGGAGCGGAAGTTATTTGTATGCAAACTTTAATGACAGCAGGTTCCTGTCATTAATTTTAATGATTAAAGAACCATTCCCTTTTTTGATAAATAGCATACGGACTAGTTAAGTAGAGGTCATCTGTTCTTTGACCTTTAATTATGTATGCCTATGTTGTCGGCACTATGGGCAGAAGCCTTTACGTTCCTGGGTTAGAATCATGTACACATCAGACATGAACTAGAGAGCTCGAGTGTTAACCCGAAAGTTTCGAGTTCGAATCCGTGTTTAAGTCAGTAGAATGTCCCAGAGTCCACCCAGCTCTGATGGGTACCTAACTCACATTAGGTAAACACCACAAGCAAACATTACCGAGTAATCCAAATGACATTCTGATTAGTTTTTGTTCCAACAATATCACACATATCATTCGAGCTAGAGTGCTAGCCCGAAAGTTTCGAGTTCGAATCCGTGTTTAAGTTAGTA